GTGTGTGTGTGTGTGTGTGTGTGTGTGTGTGTGTGTGTGTGTGTGTGTGTAATGTGTGCGTGCAAGGAGGAGCTTAGTATGATGTCAAAGCTCCTGGGCTCCTCTTGCCATCCTTACCCTGTCTTTCTTCTTGGGCGTCAGCGACCTCTGCCGGGCCTCAAATTGAGTCTTCGATCAGTTTGGGGCAAAAGGGAGAAGAATGAGCCTTTGAACTGGAAACAACTGCAGGAAATATGCAGCAAAGTATATGTACCTCTCTTGAGCAGCCTTTTCATTTGCTGGAAGATATGCAGAGGTTTTTCTGGTATTCGTCTAGGCCTGTCTGGTTATGAGGTCCTTTCCCCTACAAACCTGGATATCTAGGACAGTGGCTGAATCACGATTTAAAACCAGGACTGCCTGACTCTACTGCAGGAGAATTTTGCATTAGGTCAGGGGTGGAGTACCGGGTGATGCGTACTTTGCTGGTCTAGGGGACCAGTCTGTAGCTTGGGCAGAAGAGACTTCTTTCCTTTCCTCTGGAAGCCAACATGTTTACTTAGAAAAATGGATCTCTCCTCATACTTTAAAACTCTGGAGACATTTTGCTACTGTGCTCACTCTAGTAGCAAGTGGGGCCTGTTTGGGTTACTGTTTTAAAGTGCTCTCCAGTAGTGCACAGAGATTAAAACAAGCCAGTGGAGAATAGTTTCCCTAGAGTAGTGTTCTAATAGCAGAGCCCCTTGGTTTTCATTTCTTCATAGATCAGTAATATAAACTGTCTACTTATTTCCTTATGTGGTAGTTCTTAATCATTTATATTACTTTTTCCACATGGTTCTCTTTCAAAGAACCAATGCCAATTTATTAAAAAAAAAAAAGTCCGCTTTCCCCCAGCACTTAACATGTGTAAAAGCATCGTGTCTACTTACCGTCACAGCATCTCTTTTTTTGGAAGCCGTATAAACAGATGGTGGCTACTGGGGGAGCAGAGAGGACCCCAGCTGAGAGCAACCTAGAAGCAAGTACAAGAGCAACACAGAAGAATCTGCGTCTATGGACTTCTATGTGCTTCTAGCTTATTCTGTGCAGAAAATGGCCTTTGAGTAACTAGAGAAGGGTTTTTTATATATTGCCTAATGCTTAGGAGGGGAAGGTGGTTGCTGGCTCCTGAGTCTCCTGGGATCTGGCGGAAGAGTCCATTGGCTCCAAATCCCCAGGCAGATTCTGTCGATGTGCTTTACAAAAAACAAAAGACAAAAAAACCTCAGTACTTTTCTATATCTTCCTTTCTCAGCCTCAAGAATCAGAGAGTTGTCATTAAGAATGTACTAGCACGTCTTTCCTTCAGTTTCCCCTGGAGAGAACCAGGTTGAGGAGGGACCTCAGACCAAAAGAGTGACAGATTAGGTCTCCTGAGCAGATAGTAAAATAGGTGCCAAGTTTTATATTTATTCATCTATTTTTCTATCTATTTATTTAATTTTACAGTGGGTAGCAGGAATTACAAAGACAGAAGATTTAAAAGCATCCTAAAGTTTTGGATTGGGTTAAAATGAATTTGGAATAACTTAAAAACTATGTCTATGCATGTATGAGTGCATGAATAAGGCAACACTCAAGAATATCACTCCTTCTACTCAGAGCCAGGAAACAAAGGATATACCACATGACCCCCAAGATCTTGCTCTCTGAATACCATCCTCCCAGGGTTGAGTCTGGAGCTAGGTCTAAGGATGAACAAAGTAATCCTGATAGTTCTCATAGGGATATGTTCAAAACACATGATCATAAGTACGTTACAAGAAAATCAGAATCTGGTTGGAAAGGGTTCTCAGGCAAACCCAGGACAATTAAGGCATTAAACTGAAGATAATACTTGATTAAGATCTAATGAATAACAAGCTATCTATGCTAACATAAATAAGGGATGATGTAAACAAGTCAGGGTGAAGGAGCTGAGCTTCTGAATGGTGGGAATGCAGGCTCACGGGGATTGGTGGCTTTATAAAGACTCCACTCAGCACAGTGTTAGTAGCTTCAAGTGGGAGTCATGGGTGAAGCAAGGGCACATATTTGATGCTAAGCTGGATGCTAGCCAAGCAACTTCTGAAAAATACTGGTTCACAAGGGACAGGTGGTATTTATTGAAGAGAACCTTAGAAGACTCAAAGCAGACCGAATGTTCATGGTGCCGGCCAAAAGCCATGAGCCCAATCACAGTGTGTGCCTCCTGGTGAGATGCGCTGAGAAGGTACAGTAGATTTTGTTGCAATATGCACATTCCAGGTCTGCACATCAAGAAACACAAAATGGGCTCTGGGTATATCCTATGAGATGAAAGGTCTGTGCTAACACTCTTAAGCTAATGAAAGACAGCACTAACAGATGTAACTTGAAGAGACTCAAGTTGTCACGGCTAAATTCAGCAAATGATTCTGGATGGTATCCTGATGTAGATAGAAGAATAAAAAAGGGGGGAACATTTGAATGAGGTCTGTGGGGGGTACAGTATGTTTATGAGGTGATTTCCTGATTTGGAAGTTTACATTGCAGTTTTGTGGAAGAATAGCCTTGTAAGGAGCCAGTGCATGTCTGAGGTATTTAGTAGTCATGAGGCACTCTTTCTGCAACTTGCTTTTATATGGCTCTAAGAAAATAATTAACTAGGAAATCTTGGTTTCTACCGAGTAGGCTTTTAGGGAACCCAGAATTCAGTTCACTGTATTGATTAAACATTAACAAGCTTCTAGCCTGGTGCTAACCATGGTTTTCTCCCAACTTGACTCCTCGCTTTTCTGGTGGGATGACTTGGACCACTGAGCCTGTGGCTCCCTAAAAGAGGAAAGAAAACTTGTTGCATCCTCCTCCTAACACATATACTGAGTACATTCATCTATTATTATACAGCTTCCCAGCTTGGAGTAGACAACTGGGAGCAAAGCAAGATTCTTGCATATGTAGTGGAATTGGAGAAAACAGAACTCTAAGGTTTTAGATCCTGTCATGTTAACAACACCTCAAAGGAAAGGGCAATTTACTTTGCACAAAGTGTTATTTGTGTCAGTGTCAACTGCTCCAACAAGACAATGACAAATCCTTTGTCAAAGAGCAAAGGATTGGAATGATATTTGGGGATCTGTTGTTGGTAACAGGAAGAAGAAGATGTGGGTACATTAGCACAGACAGGGTGATGTTTGGTGTGCTCAAGAATGATAGCGAGCTCTTTAAGGGTGGGGAGGGATGAAGACGTAGATAGTGAAAGAATGGGATCAGAGCAATGGAGGGAAGATTTTATATGGTCTCACAGTTTAATCTGGGAGAATTAATGGAAGATTTCTGGACAGAAAAGGGTGGTATTATATGAGAGCATCAAAGGTTCATTATGACAGTACTGGAGGAAGTGTTGAAGCAAGGGGACAACCTAAGGGGCTACAAAAATAATGTGGGGGAGTCACTAAGAGTGACTAGTACTGGGAAAGTGGCAGAACATGCTAAGGCAAGTTTGGCTCCATGGAACGCATTAGAGGTGGATCAAGCACTGTTCTCTGATGCATTTTATGAGGGTAGGAAAGAAACATAAAAGCCAGGAAGCAACTGGAGTTGTCATTTTCTAAGATGAGCAAGATTGCAAGAGAAACTTTTGGCTTAAGAATGAACAGGTTTAGGTATACTCAGTTTAAAGGTGCCTACAATTACCAAGATGGCAGTTAGATGCAATTAACTAGAGGATTAGGTCACAGAAGAGGGGTTAAGTCAGAGCATGTGAAGAATTCTCATTATTGTCACACTAACTAGACTTGCCAAATTGTATTTTTAAAGGTTGGCCTCAAGAAGTACCAAAGAACTTAAGAAGTTCTTAAAATAGAAACAGTGATGAGGCCTGGTCTGGAGGATCCTCTACCAGACAAGCTGCACTGGCCAGGTAGAAATAATAAGTCACTGAAGGGTGTCTTGGTGGAGGGAGCTGAGTTGACCTTAAAACTTGCAGGATGGTCCTTGGTTGGAGTATCAGTCTCTTCAGAGTCCCCAGAGTTCAAGTTTCTTGGCTCTCTTGGTCTCCTTTTGGAGATCCTGTCTCTTCCAGGTCTTTCTATCTCCCCCTTCTTTCATAAAATTCCATGCATTCTGCTCACAGTTTGCTTTGAGCTTTGAGTCTGCTCTCATCCTCTGCTTTGATACCTCGATCAGTAGAGTCTCTCAGAGGCCCTCTGTGGTAGGCTCCTGTTCTGTTTTCTGTCTTCTGCTTCTGATGTCTATCATGTTTGCCCTTCTGAATAGGGATTGAGCATCTTCCTTAAGATGCTCAATTGTTGTTTAGTTTCTTTAGGAATATAGATTTTAGTGTGTTTATCCTATATTATATGTCTAATAACCACTTATGAGTGAGTATATACCATGTTTGTCTTTTTGTTTCTGGGTTACCCCACTCAGGATGATCTTTTCTAGTTCTCACCATTTACCTGCAAATTTCATGATTTCCTTGTTTTTGATAGCTGAGTGGTATTCCATTGTGTAAATGTACCACAATTTCTGTATCCCTCCATTGAGGGACATCTAGGTTGCTTCCTGATTCTGGCTATTACAAATAGAGCTGCTACAAACATGTTTGAACAAATGTCCTTGTATACTTGAACATATTTCAGATGTATGCCTAGGATGGTATATGCATGGAGAGGACCTAAAACCCTTGCATAGCTGTAGCCCTTGGCAGCTCAGTCTCCAAGTGGGTTCCCTAGTAAGAGGAGCGGGAGCTGTCTCTGGCATGAACACAGTGGCAGGCTCTCTGATCACCCCCCCCCGGGGGGTGCAGCCTTGCCAGGCCACAGAGGAAGTCTAAGCAGCCAGCCCTGTTGAGACCTGATAGGTTAAGGCCAGAGAGAAGGGGAGGAGAACCTCCCCTATCAATGGACTAGGAGAAAGGCATAGGGGGAGAAGACGGAGGGAGGGTAGGATTGGGAGGAGAAGAGGTAGGGAGCCACAACCGGGATACAAATTGAATAAATTGTAACAAATGATAATAATAATAATAATAATAAAAAAACTTGCAGGATGTTTTTGTCTGAGCCAGAAGCAAAGAACAGCCACAGAGAGAAATGGTGGAGTCTCGGTTCTGAGTACCAGGCAAATGGACTTTCTGTAGACACTCGCCACCATGCCATCCCTTTTATGTCTCATCTTTGTTACTCTACCCAACAAGCTCAAAGAAACTCTGACCTCAGACACTTTACCAAATGAATTATGTCATTTAGAAATACACTTTGCTATGGCTTTATGTACGTACCTTAATAGTTTCATAGAAGTTTTATATGCAGAAGTTTCGATATCTGGGTTTGTCTTGTCTTACATCTTTCTATGTTATATTGACTGATCAGTCCCACTTCACAAAGCAGGTGATCATTCATGAATGTGTACTTTTTCACTATAGTAAACCCTTAGATAATGACACCCCTGCCTGGAAATGAGAGACATCTTTCAAAACATGTTCAATGAAACACTGAATCAGGAAAAAAAGAAATCTACCAAATATCACCGAACATTGTTGGGATACCTTAAGCATTAAGGCTTCCCTGACTATTTTTAAAGCCAGCTTCCTATGGATGAGTACATGGAGTAGGGTGATTTGTTGTGTCCTGCGCTAGAGAGAGTTCCCTTTGTTTAGTCCTCTATATTTAAAGGAAGGAGCGATTCAGTGCTTCAGGAGAGGAGACTGAGTTTTGCCACCAGAAAAATCCCAATTAGCAACTCAGAAGTCTTGCAGGCAATTGTAATTGTACTGAAACACAAACTTTCTATTGAAACTGGAGGGATTAACACTTTTTACTAAAACTTGAAAAATTCTAAAAGACAATGTATTGTTGGGCACATGGAAGTGTCAGGGAGACAAAAAGGGGTCAGGAAAAGAAGTGGGGTGGGGTTGAGGGAGATCTAAAACAATCAACACCCCAAAACTAAAGAATGTCATTTTACCCATTTGTGTGTACAGATGGCCTACTTATAATGAGATCATTACATTATAAGCCTACCATAAAGGAAAAACATTCTTTAGACAAAAAGTCATTTGCTCTACCTAGCCTAACTGAACTCTGCAGTTTAATAACACAGTACACTACAGAATATAGGTGTTTCACCTTCATGACTTCATGGCTGACTCTAAGCTGCAGCTCACTGTGCTCTCACTTCAAACTGTGCACTCCTAGGCTACCAAAGACCAGGATTCAAAATACTAACTACAATAACACACAATTGTTCTTACAATAACAATCTACAATAACAATCATTGTAACTACAATAACAATCATTGTTCTTCCATAAAGTAAATGCTTTGAAAATCAGACTACCTTAAGTTGGCCTTGTGGGGAGAGCCACCTCTTTTGTTAGGAGCTGTGCTCTTCTGGATCCTCAGACTAGTTTGATATGATCCTGTCCAACAAGGACTTCCCATCAGATGTAATAATCCAATTGAGTGGTGAAGGTCAGTTTGTCATGTCTAAAATAATATGTATCAGAATAGCACAGGGGAAGTAACAATTCCATGTGTAGATAGAAAAAAATCAGGAGTATTCATATCAGATTGATACATTTAGTGAGGATAATCTGAGAGGGGAACTGGCTCCTAGCACTCAGCAAGGCTGGGTTTCCTACTGGTGCTTATCTTCCACAATGCCTGACTTAGAGCAGGTTTCTTGGAACTGCAGGGTAGGCAGGTGCTGTTGTTCTAAACATGTATCTAGACTGTCCTGTTTAGTGCTAAGGATGCTTCCATCACTCCCATTACATACCAAAAGGTAACTGAAAGAACTAGAGTAGCTTCCCTGAGGTCACACAGCTGCTGTGTCCTGGAGTGGGCCTTTCCCTCCAGAAATCTGGCTCTGGGCTGTGGCTTTAAGGACCGTGCAATTGCTCCACAGGCTCTGGTCTCTGATGTTTCCCATCTTGTTTCTTAATTTGACTCTGATTTGTAACTTCACTTCCTTTGCCTCTGGCTAATTCTGTTCCTGCTCTTAGAGTGGCACTTGTATCTCATTTCCTCTTTTATGTCCTCTTCCTTGCCACCAAGGGTGGGCAGCTTTGCTTCTCTGAGAGCATGTATTCTACAGACAGGAGTGTAAGAAGCCTTAGAGTCCAGCAGTTCCTTTGACTTCTGATGCAAGCACACTGTATACAAATGGAAAGCACCAGAAAGATTCTTTTGGGAGCATGCATGAA